TAAAACTTGAGTTATGAATAGTGGATATCATTTTTTTTCCTTTAACAATTTTTTTCAATTATTTACAATTTTTTTATTTTTCAAATTTATTATGTTTTTTTTGTAATTTAATATGAATAATTTAAATTACTTGTAAATAATTATTGAGTAATCTAATAATTTTAAAAAATACGTAATTACAAAAATAAAAAATAATAAAAATAAAAAATAGAAGATCAGTTTTCATTTTAATTAACTTCAAAAAGACAACAATAAATACATAAATTATAACATAAGTATTTATAGACCCTACAACATCATATCGTCGCATATCAACGTCTTTTGAACGAGGGCTATTAGCGTGCACGACGGTGACAGTACACTGCCCACATTGTATGCGCCCTTACATCCCTTAAAGCATTCATCTCCACTTCTGCATTAGAATCCAATCGTTGACCCTCATGGTTAGTATTGTCGTTAATGTCCTCATCAACATTCTGTTGATCAATGTCTGCAACCGGAACGCCATCTTCTGAGTATTGGTCCAATAAGCTGTCCCCATTACGGTACATATGGATAAAATTATGTATTATAGCACACGCTGCTGGAATTATAACTTGTTTGGTCATGAGGTAACGATTAATGGTTCTCAAAATACGAAATATAGCCTTCCACACACCAAATGTTCTTTCAATGACATTACGCAGTGAGGAGTGGGTGTAGTTGAAAAGCTCACGTTCACTGTAGAAACCTCTTTCACGGCGAGTCCTATACTCTTGCAAGTGGTATGTTGTCCCCCGATATGGTGCCATGAAGCATCTGTTGTTAGCGTACCCCGAGTTGACGAAGTAAAATTTTCCTACACTTAGACGTATATTAATTAATAAATAAGCGTACGGATGAAGTATTTGAAATGTCAGTGTACATATAAAAAATCATTATATGCGGACCTGGTGACGGTGTTAGAAATCTTTTGGTTGCGGATTCTAAGGCGGCAGCCAGTACTCTCGCATTGTGTGCGGAACCCTTCCATCTAGATAACATGTACGTAAATTTCATATCAAAAGAGCACACGGCAAACACATTAAGTGAAAAAAACCCCTTCCTACTTCTGTAAAGTTCAGCAGTTTCATGAGGGGGAACACATGAGACGTTAGTACCGTTAAGTGCTCAAACACAATCCTTCATAGTTTACAAGAGTTATGTTGGTTATATTAAACAACGTAATAATTTTTAGAAAGTATTATAAACCGCATTAAAATTTAGATGTGGCTAATTAATGTAGATTACCGAACTTACATCGAACCACGGCGAGTATTTGTTTCCACTTGCAATTATGTGCGGGTGAACGGTTTAAAAATCTGTATGTCTAATGAAGTCCTTCAATGTGCATATCGCCTCAAGAACTTTGGTGAAGTACTTAGACACTGTTGATCCAAATCGCTGTCAAGTGTCATGCGCCTCCCTGTTAGTTTGGTTCTAACATAATATAGTTAAGATTATGAATAATTGCTCATTAACATTTAGGTGAACGGTCAGTTACAATAAGCCCCTTTCCTCAAGGATATAACTTAGGCGCAAGAATGCATCACTACTCATACGGACTTTGTCATACATCACTGTTGGACTACGTTCCAGATAATAATTCACTCTAAGTGCGCCTCCCCAACCAGAAGTGTGCTTTCGGCGAGAAAGTTCTATGTATACAAATCCAACACATAGCATAGTCTCCGCAACCACCACTTGCATGAAAAAATCATCATCACTGTCATAGTCTGATTCATTAAAACCCATTGGGTTTGAATTCCCGCCTATATCCATCCCTGTCCAATTTTCCAAATAATGAAGCAAAAAGTTAAAAAAATGCAAATCATATGCATAAAGTTAAAAACTACATATAAAACAACTCTTGCAGAAATAAATTTACATTAAGCAACAACTCCTCAACCAAATGTGTCGCAACCTAATAAGAATGACTCAATTAGTACTAATAACAACAAACAATGAAGGAAATAAAACCATAAACAAATCAATTTCGACAAGTCTCTATATGTTCGTAACAAGTAAAACGAATGAAATGACATCATCACATGTGCGAAGAACCATCCCCTCCACGTGGCATTGGATAGGGTGGTCTTGGGAACGGTGGCACGAACGGTTGAAATGGGGAAGTGGGTTGTCCAAATGTGTTGGCAGGTGTAGGGTTCGTGTGCACGGTTGGCTGAAAGAACGAGGACATAGGCATTTGTTGTGGTGGCGGAGGAGAGACTTGTTGGTTTGCACACTGCTTCATAGTATGCTGAATCCACACAAGCCGATGGTGTTCTGGCATATGAAGGAATGACCGCTGCCATCTAGGATTGGTAGTCATAAAGTTGAACATGAAGAGATACTGTTCTTGGGATATATCCAACGTTGCCAATAAACCGAAGCATTGATCCTCAACGTTTTCACTTTGCACGGACATGGTCGCAGATGCATTTATACCTCGAGACCGACTGCTTGTTTCTATCGAAGTTACGAGGCGATCCACGGCACGCTTCATATAACTAGGTGATATTGTACGAGAGTTACGACTTGACCTTCTACGTATCAATCGTGATGGTGAGTGGACATGTTGTCCGTGGCTTTCTCCGTGCACGCCATGTCTCCTATTTGTTGAAGGAACATCGTCACCGTCATTGAAACTCGTTGGTCCTCTCTCAATGGGGCTGCCGGACCCATGTTGTGGTGGAGCATCATCCTGACCATACTCAAAGGGCCCATTTGCCCGTGTATTAGCGAACGCGCAATAATACAAATCGTAATCCAACAAGAGCTTCCTCCTCGCCCTTTCAACCTCGGGATGGCTCTGTAAATGGAGCAACAAATATTAATACAATCAAGAAATGGTTCTTTCACATACGTATTCAATATAAAATTCAGAAGTCGAAGATGATTACCAAAAAGGTGGAACAAGATATCTGTATAAACTTAAAATCAAATAAGCTAAAGTCGATCTCTGAGTAAACCAGTGATTTAAAGAAAAAAAAATCCCCATACAAAGAAATCCTAACATGGAGGTGACGGCTAAATGTTCATGACTCTAAATATTACTAGGCACATAACACCCATGTCTTATCAAGGAAAGGAACAGAAACGGTCGTACTTAGAAATTGGATTCATTTCACATCCTTTTCCTACCAGTTGACCCAACAAAAAACCCCAAAAATTCTCAACCATCGTTGACATTGCAAAAATTTATGCTTTGGGCTAGACTCGTTTTTTGTCCAAAACTGCAAATTGCATCTTGCGCTTCATGAGAACAATCTTTCTTGCTAGAAACAAAAGAAAAAAAGTCATGACTTAACATTAGTCAGCATTCCAAAATACTAATAAAAAAACTTGCTACCTTTTGTTTTGTTTTATTTGCTTTTTTTAACTCAACCCAACTTAATTCTAAATGCTAACAGTTTATGGCACAAGGGTATCGCTTCATCATTGCAATCTGCTTTATGAGAACAGGAAACCACTTAAATGCATATAAGACAATCTATAGTATGGTAAAAAAAAAAGACCTACCGCTAGATCTCTGTTTTCAACTGTTACTTCATGTGCAGCAAGAACTTCCAAAGTGGCAGGTAATAGTATATATATAATAGATATAAATGAGTCAGAAGCAGAAATGGGCATTTAGTGAAGGGCTTGGCCACAGGTTATAAAGATAGTCTCAGGCCCGGATGTCTTGGGGTCTCTACACATTGTGCTAAAGGAAGAGAAACAAAAATACCACTCTGGACAAACAGTTATGCCATGGAAGTGAAATAGTATAAACATGTTTTTTACTAAAGAGGAAAAAAAAAAATCGTAAGTGACACGAACTTTATATTTTAAGTGACCCAAAAAAAAAAAAAAAGGCAAAACTATGAAGAGAAACTTCTGCTTCTCTTTTGAATAGCAATTTTTGCATAAGCTTGGACTAAATGTAAGAAAGTCCCAATCTACCGTTTTTACGGAATAAAGGGGCAGAAATCCTAACATTAATCTGAGGCGGAGTTTTTTATATGGCAAACCAAAAACCATAGCCCAACGAAACACCCTCACATGGTAAACTCTTACACAAATGCACTCCCCTTGTGAGGTTTTGAAGCCAATATCCGAAATAAAATAATACAAAGTATATATACATATTGACAAGTGACTAAAGGGCATGCCTAGTTAATCAAATAAATCCCTTTTGAATGAAGGAGAGGAGAACAACTCTTATTTACATAAGAGTATATGATACACTATATATGATTACATTGTATAACAAAGCAACCACATCGGTAGAGACAGCAGTTGTGTGTAACGTTTCTTCTACAAAGTGGATATCTTTTTTCCTACCCATGTATAGTAGTTTGAAAAATGCAATTTAATGGACAAAAGGGAGACAAGACTAACACCAAATATGCATGAGTTTATATTATCTTGTGAGGTGAGGATGATTGGAATGTTTCACCCCAGCATGGTCCAGCCTAGAATCTTTGGTGCTCGAAACATCTCTCGAGCAATGGAGCTGTTCCAAGGGCAAAAATCTAGAAGAAGTAGAAACTTACACTGATAAATTGTTGCCAATACTCGTCAATGCAGGTGGGTTTCTTCTGAATCAGATCCCATCCAAGTCCGGTGGCAGTACGAAGTAGAAACTCAACATCAAACGTTTTCTTCAGTCTACTAGCTTTTTGTTTGACTTTGTCCCAAGTTAGGGGGACGATAAAATGCTCACTTAGCTCCGCCGCCCATTGTGTGTATTTGTCTCGGTGCGGGGTGGTACCGACAGAGTTCAATAAATTGAACTCACCTAGACGTCTAAGCAGTTGTTCCTCAGCTTGTGGGCTCCAATTTACATCTCTATCTCTCCTTCTCGCCATCTAAGTATTGACAATACCAATATGGCAGCAATACGTATGTACATACCATACAAAATTCATTTAATGAGCTCGGATGTTGGAAGGAGGCTCAGATTTGTGTAAAGGCCCTCATCGTCCTATTATGGAGCATTATCCTAAGCTAGGACAATTAGGCTACCAAGGTTTATGTTCAATTAATCTTAGTGGTAGGTTTGCAATACACTTTAAACCCGAAGTCAACGAACATTATGCCATGAGGTTATGCATAAACCGGCAACCAATATGCTACCAAAGTTTTAGCTAACGTCGGCATATTGCTCAAGCAAGGTATTCAAAATGAATTAAAGCAACCATACCAACCAAGAGTAATGGGATCAACCGGCAACCAATTATTAACCAGCCATCGAATATCACTCGACATAAGTAACTAGGCCATTAAATACAATTACTTCGTCATAACCACGGTAAAATGCAATCTAGAAACTGAAAAAACCAGAAACAGTTTCTGACTTTTTTCCAGAAACTGCACAGCAGGGGTTTCAAATATACATATGAGAACAATATTCAAAAGTTTGCCAATCATCATGTAAGTATATAACGGTAGATTCTAGAGAACATTCTTAATAGATGAACAAGGTTCGTATACTTATTGCCAAAGAAAAATGGGCCATGTAATGAGGGGACTTACTTATAAGCTATAATACTTATTGGTAGAGATTATTTTTCCCGACACTTACAATTTAATTTCTATTCATTATCACATAAACGCAACAGTAAAAGAAAGTATGAGCACTTTGGTTGCTGGATATTGTGATCTAGTTGAATAAACCGAAAGTTAGCAGCTAAATTAAAAATATTCTCAACAATACTAAGACACCACCACTCTGGACAAACAAAATCTGGGTTCAAAGTGTCAATGCCTAACCAAGACCTGTGAGGTACTAAGAACATATAATTCAAGAGCAGACAACGATCTCTCTTTTTTGTTTGACTTTTTTTTTTTTTTCCTCGCCTGTCTTGGTTTTTGCTTAAAACCAACAACCTTAAAATGCATAGCTCCTGAATCAAAAACAAAAATTGAAGAAACTATTTTGAGGTTCTAAAATATATCTCAAGGGCCCACATCAAGTAATGGTTGATACATTCCGTTTACAAGGTCTGAGACAAATAAACCATTATCCAGAAAATATTCAGCAACTCCTCAAACTTCTTGAACAAGAAGAAAATTGAGAAAGAGCAGCAATCCATCTACGGAAAACCTTAAAAGCAACTCCTCAACATCGTCCTATTTGAGGCTTTTTCGTTTTTTTTTTTTTTGGTTACCATGGGGAAAGTGTTGTTGGTGGAGGAGATGAGCATGCAACTTGGAAGGAATTAAATGTAGGATTAGAGTGCTTACCCAGTTGGAGCCTACAGAGGAGTGGGTTTGATCTGCTCTGAGACTCCCAAAACGCGAAGACTGCTGTCTCTGAGTCAGGTACCGGTGACGACAATGGAGGGGGAAGTAGATTAATCGTCGCCACAGGAAAGCACTACGTCGAGACTCTTTCCTTCTACATCGAGCTAGGATTGTTGCCCAAGGAGGTTGCTGAAGGAATCGATTTCTACCCCTGAATTTCTCCGTCTTGAACGAAGACCAGGCGGCAGAAGATGAGGGGTGAATTTTGGGGCTAGGGTTTCTACCTCTGATTGAGGGAAAGGCAGCAGAACTCAGGGAGCATTTGAGTTATGGGTATGGGGCGGAATTGAAGCGAGTGTTGAAGCTTGAAGGAGTGAGCTATGGTCAAAAGGCAGCAGAACCAACTGGAATCTCTCTGTAGAAGCACGTGAAGTAGCAGTTCTGGAGTGTTAGAGCGAACAAAGATGGACGAAGCACGCAACGGTCATATTACCCAGGAATATTCACTGTAGAAATACAGAGAAGTAACTCGAATTGCAGTGGGAAGGTGAACTCGAATAAGGCAGGTCACTCGAATTAATTTTCAAGTTTAGTTTTGAGTGTCGTTCGAGTTCTCACGTGTCGAACGCAGATTTGGGTAAAATTTACACTCGAGTGGGCCTTTCTCGAGTAAAGTTGGGCAACCGAACAAGCCCTTAGTCTTTCGTATCAGAGTGTCATTCCTAAAATGCATCCTACCACTCACTTGAATTCCCTTGCTTCCGCTTCTGGACTAAACACTCCACAAACCCCAACACAAACAAACCTAATTCCTATACCTCAAATCTAGTTATCAACAAATCCCTAATGCTCAACCAACTAAGCTCATTCAACAACAACTAGCAAGTCTTGGCCAGCCTCTCATAATTAAGCCGGATTGAGATAATTACTTACCATGGAAAAGTTAATTACTTAATGCGATAATAGTCAATGACTTTGAAGAGTTGTCAGTATTCTTCTCCTTCCCTGATTCTCTGTATAACTTCTCTTTCATCACTAAACATCATTTCCACAGAATTTGCCTAAGGACAACACAGTTCATGACTACGCATAGGCCCAGTTTGGTATTTGATTTTTTGGCATCCCAAAATCACTTCTAGAATTTTAGGTCCCGTTCGTGTTTGGTAAAAAATATCAAAAGCAATTCTCGAACAATTTTGGGCAAAGCTACAGATAAAATGAGAAGCAAGCCAAGTGCTGCTATATACCTCTTTAAGCTGTTGAACTTCCAATTGTAACTCGGCCTCCATTTTTCTCCACTCAGCTTCTTTTTTACTCCAACAAGCTCTCTGCGCGTGACATTAGAAAACATGTCTGAATTTTTTTTTTCGAACTTCAAAGAATCATACAATTCAAAATGAATGAACTACTTTAGAAATTCTACAGTGATCAAATTGCAAGAAATTAGAAACAAATTTTTGAGAAAAATTCAAACTGTTTCTTGTAGAATAGATCCATACCTCCTCCTCAAGAGAAGCACATTTATTCTCAAGTGATTGAATTCTCTGCAAACAAGCAGACCCATCATCCCAATTTATTTATTTATTTTATTTTTGGGTTTTAAAAGTATAAAGCTTCATGATACTGAAAGTAACCTTTTGTGCTTCTTCATCAATGGCAACAACCCGCGCCGCAAAAAGCTTTCTGACGTCTTTCAGTTTGCATCTTCTGTTGCATTGAGGACACTGGAAAAGAAAACAAATAAATAAGAAAAGTACAGTTTTACAATCTCCCACAAGAATGAATTGAAAAAGAAAAAAGAAAAAGTAATACCTTCCCTTGATTTTGACACTTTTTAAGCCACTTCTGTATGCAAGACATCCCAAATATGTGCCCACATGGAAGACAACTATAATACCCAAAAAAATGAAAAAAAAAAAATTGTAAGGGTTGTACATCAAAGGGTCAAAATTGTACTGAAAACAAACGAAAGAACAAACAATGGAAGAGAAATTGGAACCAGATATGATGATCGCCATCGTTAGTCCAAGGTTCCATGCAAATAGGGCAAAAAAGGCCGTCGATTTCTGAGGCGCTCCACTGATTCCCTTCGGAACCCTCGTCTCCCAAGAAGCAAGCTTCACCTTCACCTTCACCTTCGCCTTCTTCTTCTTCATCTTCTTCTTCGTCTTCCTCTGAATCCAGTTCGTCAATCGAGTCGTCCTCACTCATATACTCTTCGTCTTCTTCTTCTTCTTCATCGTCCTCGTTTTCGACTTCGTCGTCAAGAGAAATCGGCGCTGCCTCGTTGAGTTCTTCGTTCTGGTTTTGGGGAAGTTCGGTGCCGGAAGGGGAATGGTCCGCCATTGGAGCTTGATTTTGAACTTCTCTCTCCTCTCTCTATCTCTCTCTCTCTCTCTCTCTCTCTCTCTCTCCCTCCCTCCCTCCCCCCCTCTTTCTCTTTCTCTCTCTTCTTTTCTCTCCCGCCGAATGAAAATCCCTTTTCTTTTATACTGCATTTATTTTATTTTATTTTATTTGGGGAAGAAAGTGAAACGACAAGCCGTTTTCACAGTAGATGAACGCAGGTAAAACCCCAAAAAGCACCCGTGGGCATACGACATTTTCCTTTCATTTAACGGAAATTCAAAATGTAGCTAATTATTGGGTTATTTAACTTTGGGAAATTGTTGATAATGACATCGTTTTGATGCTATTACTAACGTATCTTAAATTTTTGCCTCCTTCTCTGTGTCTTTTATATGTCATGTTTTAGGCTTACTAGAAAATGCACCCTTATTTTTTTTATCCTATCAAATTTATATCATCAAATTACAATTAAGTAGGTTTTTTTTTTTTGAAAAAGAAAAACTTACATTTTTACTTTTGGAAAAGTTGGAAATACTCTTTTTAAAAATCCATTGATTCTAAATTCTAAATTTGCTAAATAAAAAAAAAAAGAAATCGACATTAAACTTTTTATTTAATGAATTATGATTTGTAGTTCGCTATAATATTTTCTTTTAAAAAAAATTAAAAATATTTTTAAATTATAATTTTAAATCTATAAACTAAACGTCATCATTGCTTTTCTGAATCCACAACCAAGTAAGAGAGTAGCCTTATTCCTTCTCGTTCTTTGTCTCAGTTCTCCACTTCTCCTACCACAGACTTATTTTCAACCAAAATTTATATCAGCTTCCACTAGATATAAAAGTTGATGAGTATTAAATAGTTTACTTATATGTATTGGGATCCTTAGTGGTGAGTTTTTCTTGGATTATGTTTATATATAAATATATATATATTTTAAGTATAACTTTGCTTATTATTTTTGTATTGTTTACATATATGAGTAGGAGGAAGCAGTTTTGCTTAATAAGTTTATATAAAGGAAGCTACTTCTACACAAGAACAATATAATATGTATTTACATGTACAGTTTCCTAAGCATGAACTTGTATTACTGGAATTGTAAGAAACTTCTTTTATATAAAAGTAATAGAACATGAAAGTAGATTTATGATATCTTTTAAGTACATAATCACGTCTATAATCTATTTTTCTTGTACTTATGTGAATAATAACTGATGCCAAGTGATTATATCATTGTTATGATAGTTTAAACTAGCTTGATGACGGGGAAATTGACGCCTTCTACTTGTCGCTATTGGTTTTGATACAAGGTATCACAAGAACAATAATATTATTTACACGTGTTTTGCATGCATATATTAATTTAGTTTGTGGTAATATTTATATGCATATATTGATGGGAACACTTTTTGATATTTTGACTGTAATTACTATGGGTTGGGATTTATTTATTTTTTTAAATACTGTATAAGCCTATATATTCTACAAGAGTAAACCTCTATATAGTAGTGAATAAATTATAAAGTTTTGGAAAATAGTATATCCAAATTTATTTTCGTTATTAATTTGTTCAATCAGTGAACCGGTTTAATAACAAATAACGCCATTTAATTAAAATATACGTTATAAGTATGGTTTTATTAGTCGGGCGTTACAGTTTTAGTGCTACAATGACAGCTTAAATGCTTTAGCTAAACTCATTGAAGATTTTGAAGAGAAGTTTTTTCTTTTTTCTTTTTTTTTTTTTTAACTTAGTGCAGATCTTGAATATCTTCAGTGGGTGGCCAGGGTTGAAGATTACACTGCTGAATTTTCTGATGGAAATCGGAGGAAACCAAGTTAGGTAGGTTTCTGATGGAACGTTTCGGGTATCATATTTTTCATTCCACTCTCGGAAATGATTTCTAAACGTTTTTGGAAGATTTTTTTTTCCTTTCTTGATAAAATTGTCTTTGTTTCTTTCAATATATGCAATATAAATAAATAAATAAATGAAAGAACTCTTTGACTGCACAATCTCATGCTGACATATTATTGAAAAATCATAAACCTGAGCTTGCTTTTTCTGAATGAGCTATGCATGATTAAACAATTGAAGCACCTTCTGTTAATTTTAAATTTTTGCTCTTCAGGAAGTCCTGAAAGTATTGAAAACCCAGGAATCGATAAAGGAGCATAAGGTTTAATTCATTACTTCTGTAATACTACGGGGACGTTTGTTTTCTGTATTCGTTCTTGATTCTGAATCATGATTTATGGTTCTCTATATGTGTTTTTCTCTCACAAAAAATACACATAAAATGAGAATAATTATAAATCATAATTCTGAATCTATAAACTAAGCATTCACTATTTCATTTAAAGTCCTCAAACCTTCAGATTTTCTGACAGTTGCGGGATTATGAAGAGGAACACGATGAAGAAGCGAAGAGTCAAGAGCGTGTGGGCCCAGTTTTCTGATATCAATGATACGAATGATAGGAATGTGAGGTGGCAGCAAACGTGGGAAAATGGCGAGGAGAGAAATCAGGGTTTATATATCCTTTTACCTTGTAGTGCTCCAATAACATTTTTTTTAAAATTACATGTACAATAATAATATTATCAAATCAAAAACATGTAACTATTAATAATGTAAAAACAAAATACTTTCCCTCAAAAACAAAAATAATCTGGGTGTTTGGAATGCATTTTGTTTCGGTTTTTCACGTTTATCGAGAAAAAAATGAAAATGAAAAAAAAAACATCATTTGGAGCAGCCGATCACAAAAAACGAAAACAAAAATAGTCTTGGTTTTTTGCATAAAATATGGTAGAAAATGAAAACGACTTTTAATCGTTTTCATTTTCTTCTTTTTATTTTCTCTTCTGTCAACTGCAGTTAAAGTGTTAAAAAGCTGGAATCTAAAAAGTAGAAAAAAGTTGTTAAAATACTATTAGATATTTATATAACTGATAAGTACTGTTAAATTATTTAATATATTTTTTAAAATAATATTAGATGTTTTTAAAAATTTATAATCAAACGGAATTTCAGTTTTTTCTTATACTGAAAATAATTTCTCAATAAAACTACAAAATGCATTTTTAAAAATAATTTTTATCTGAGATTAAAAATATTTTCATTTTCATTTCATACAAAAAAACAAAATCATTTTAAAACTAACTCCAAATGCATACAGCATCAAAAGTTTGATAGTGTTGTTCTAAATAATATTAAAAAAATCAACTTTTTAGGGATGAGAAAAAAAAAAGAAGAGTGATTTTTTAAATGAAGAAAAATGAGAATGATTCTAAATCATAATTCTGAATCTATAAACTAAACATTCACTATTTCATTTAAAGTCCTCAAACCTTCAGATTTTATGAAGGTTGCGGGGTTATGAAGAGGAACACGATGAAGAAGCGAAGAGTCAAGAGCGTGTGGGCTCAATTTTCTGATATCAATGATACGAATGATAGGAATGTGAGGCGGCAGCAAACACGGGAAAATGGCGAGGAGAGAAATCAGGGTTTATATATCCTTTTAGCTTGTAGTGCTTGAATAACATTTTTTTTTTAAATTACAGGTACAATAATAATATTATCAAATAAAAAACACGTAACTATTAATGATGTAAAAACAAAATACTTTCCCTAAAAAACAAAAATAATCTAGGTGTTTGGAATGCATTTTGTTTCAATTTTTCACGTTTATCGAGAAAAAAATGAAAATGAAAAAAAATAACGTTTGGAGTAGCTGACCACAAAAAATGAAAACAAAAATAGTCTTGGTTTTTTGCATAAAATATGGTAGAAAGTGAAAACAACTTTTAATCGTTTTCATTTTCTTCTTTTTATTTTCTCTTCTGTTGTAGTGACCAAGAAAATCTCAGAATTTTAATAATGTAATTCATGTATTTAAGTCAAGGATTTTCCTGGAAAATCATTATACTATGTACATTTTGTGATTGAAGGATTTATGGAATTAACATCTACATTCCTAAATTCTGTAGCAGATTTCACGTTAAGTTCACATTTTTCTGATCAAGTAAATTCGATCGATAAATTCTCACCGTAATTTAAAACGGAAGAATTTCCAGTACAGATACAGTTAGAGAATCTTAATTTTAAGAATCTCCCAGCACAGTACAACCTAGCATCCAGAACCCGTATACAAGAGAAAATAACTGTCAGTATAATTTTGGACAGTTTTAATGAGTAACTTAAGGGAATGGATAAAAGTACAAGGGGTAGGTTAGTGTGTGTGATTTGATAAGATGTGATGAGAGAGGTGAATAGGACTAATGATTAGTTTTTTTTTCTCCTTTTTCTCTTCACTTGGCCGGCCATCCTTAGGAATTTATATCCAAAAATTTTGGTTATATGTTGAGTATGTTAGAAGGTTACAAGTTAAGGTGATGGGATGGTAGTGGTTGAAGGGGAATTAATGGCAATTTTAGCTTCTCCTTTTCTCCTTCCATAACTGGCCAAGATTGGGGGAAATTGAACCAAAATTTGGTTGATTGAGAGAGTTGATGTGGTGTTAAAAAAATAATTTCTAAGTGCCTATAAAATGAACCACCATAGGATAAGCCTCATTTGTTTTCCCTAGCTTTTCTCTCCCCCTCAAAATCCGGCCATACCACACTCCCCCACTCTTTCTCAAATATTTTCTCCTACTCTCCCAATCTTGAGCCACTACAAACCATAGAAGAAGAAGAAGGAGATCAAAGGGTCTAGGAGGAGTCTAGACAAGCATTTTTTCAAAGGGTATAACTCTAAATCCTTTTTTTATGTTTTAGTAAAGTTTGAAATGTAGAAATATTCCTCTTAAATTTCCTTATACTTTCTAGTTCCAAGCCAATAACAAATCTTAGAGGAGTTCAAAGTTTTCAAGGGAGAGAGATAGTTCTTCAAGGGTAAGCTCTCAAACTCTTCTCCATTAATTTCTAGCCAACTTTAAGCTTG